ATTTAAAAAAATATAAGAAATAAAAAAACAAAATATAATGCTATTAATAAAATTAAAAGACACAAAGTTTCACAAAAGAAGGCTTAAATCCAATCTAAGCTTTTTACAGCTTTCTTAGTTGACCAATTTATGCGACTCATTGATGGATCAATTACAGGAATGAAAAGTTATAGTTGGTCAATCAATTGTTCAGTAGCAATAGCAGAGATTATGATTTGTCATACAGAAAATGTTAGAAATTGTTGTTCTGCAGCTTAATTAAGAAAAGATAATAAATTATCGTAAAAACCATTAACATTTGAGAGACTTATGAGTTTATAGTGAATGTGCATTTGGCTTCAATAGAAAATATAAAAGATCTTCTTTAATGTACCCAGACCACCTGATAAGGCAATGAAGGCATTAGCATGATCAAACATTATATTCATTCAATCAGACATTGTAAAGATCTGTAGTTCCTTTCCAATTATTTTTTCAATGATATCCCTTTTAGTAAAGCTTGAGGGATGACTCCCAAAACTTAACTACCTCCTAAAAATACAGTTATCACCCCCTATTAACCCAAGGTTGCCTCCCTTATACACTAAATGAATCTTCTCTTAGCTAACATCTGATCAAGATTATTTACTGATTCTAAAAACTCTTTTTTTTTCCAAGACTAGATCCAAAGAAAATATAAACATTTTTTATATGATGACTTGAGGAACCTACAATTTCTATACACTTCTATATCTGTTTAATATATGGGTTAAGTAGAAATGACAGGAAGGAAGAGAAAATTTTATAGATGAGAAATTAAAAATACAATCATATCACTTATAGGTAGGCTAGTTGGAGTTTCTCTCTCTCTCTCTCTCTATTTATTTATTTATTATTATTTTTTTGAAAAAGCATATATATATATATATATATATGTATGTATGTATGTATGTATGTATAGGTAGTTGCGATTGTGGCTCATATCTTTCCTTGATTTTACATCCAAGAATGGCTTATATGCCCTCAATGAGTCGGGGATAAGCTTCCCATCCAGTCTTTTTAAAAACTGGCAAATACAGTGTTTTTAAATCAGATTTCCAAGACTATACTGAGTATATTCTTTATGAAAATGGGGTCATAAGTCATGAAATGCACACTGCATATTACTACTAGGATATGTCCCAAAAGTCAGTAGAAGATTATCTACAAACTCTTTATGTTTTGAAATAAATCCTGACTTTTGATATTTTTCACAAGCTTTGTAGAATATATATGTGTCTTTGAACATGGTAGGCCAATAAAATCCACATTGTAAGATTTTTACGGTGGTCTTCTTTAATGAGAAATGACTCTCACATGCCTCAAAATGACAAAGTTTAATGATACTACTTACCTCATTGTTCTAAATGCATCTTCGAAATATTTGATTAGGATAATATTTGAATAAGTAAAGGTCATCCCAATAAAAGGTCATCCTAATAAAAGTTCTTTACTTCATTCAAAAACTTTCCTTTGTTTTCGGTACTTTAGTGAGCTAATAAAAATCATGAAGTAAGAAAATTAATATTTTTAGCAAATTAAGGCATTGGACTAAGAGAAAGGAAGGATTCATCAGGAAGGTAATTATCGATTGGTGGGATGTCAAATATCGAATCTATTGTCAATTTTGATATAAGATCCATATTAATATTTTTGATGCCTTTCTTATCCTCGATTTCTTCTTGAGAATAAATTATTTGTAATTCTTTAGATCCATCAAACTTAGTTTTACTCAAGGTAGATTCAAATTGATTATAAACTGATTCTTTAATATTATCTACTTCCTATAAATCATTATCATCTCTAGGTTACTTGCAAATGTTAAAAATATTCATCTTTAATGTCATGTTTTTAAATCATAGCTTCATTAATCAATTTTTACAATTAATCAATGTATTAGAACTTATAAGAAATGGACGTCCTAACATAACAGGAAATGAATTACATGCTTCAATAGGTTGTATGTCCAAGATAATAAAATCCACAAGATAAATGAATTTATCAACTTGTACTAATACATCCTCAACTATTCCTCTAGTTACTTTTACAAATCTATTAATAAGTAAGAAAGTTACACTTTAAAAAACTGAATATGGAAGTAAATTCATACTAGCTCCAAGATCAAGTAAATCTCTTTTAATTTTATGTTCTCCAATAAAGCAAAAAATTATTGAACAACCAGGGTCTTTATATTTCAAAGTATTATTATTTTAAAGAATGATACATACTTGTTCGGCTAAAAAGGCTTTCATTTTCATATTCAGTTTTCTCTTCACAATGCACAGATCTTTCAAAAATTTAGTATAAGAAGGTACCTATTTAATAGTATCCAACAAAAGTATATTAATTCTTACATGTTTGAAAGTTTTAAAGATTTTAGAGTTGTGATTAACTTTTTTTTGTTTGGTCATTACATGAAGAAATGGAAGTGCTGGTGGGAAATCAGTCTTTTCTTTGCAATGTTTAAATTCTACTCTTAGAGATTAACTCATCATCTTTCTTATAAGGTTCAAGAGTGAGTTTTTCAACAACCTTACTACTATGAAGAGTAATGACTGATTTGACTAAACTAAAATCCAAGATCTACAGCTTCAAATATGACCTAATGACTGAATAGTGTTCTAGTTTAGACTGAACCAGCATCTCTTTTCTAAGCTTAGCCCTCTCTTTATCTTCTCAATTTTAGTAGTTAAACTCATCAATCAATCCTTTTATTTATGTGATAGGCCTACATTTAAGATAATATTTACCATAAATTAAAGGTATTTTATATTTATTAGATATGTTATTATAAAATATGCTTTAGTTAAGAAATTATTGATACTTTAAGTGCAAAATGATAATATAAAAACTTAATAAAAATACACTATTAAGTACTAATCACATGTTCTTCTATAAAAGCTAAATATCAATCTGTAACAGCTATTGTAGCTGAATTCAAATGGCTTTATTATCTTTTTACTGATCTTGGAATTGATTTACCTCATGCTCTTAGTCTATTGCGACAATATTGGAGCTACTTAACTATGTTATAATCCAATGTTTCATTCAAGAATAAAACATGTTGTAATAGACTTTCATTTTATTCAGGTTCAAGCCTATACAGGTTCTTTGCGTGTGTCTCATGTTTCATCCAATGATTAACTTGTTTACGCGCTTATAAAATCATTGCCCTATTCAAAGTTTTAATCTCTCAAAACCAAGATTGGCCTCTCTTATCGTGGCTTATCTTGAGGAGGGATATTAGATAACAAGTACTCTATTGTTAGTTGATTTGAATAGTTTAAATGCAAATATGGTTGTATCTATGAGCTACACAGGATAAGATTTCATTCTTTATTATCTCTGTAACAAACATGTATTATATAACACTTTAAATAAAATGAAAACAATGAGCTTTTCCTTTTCTTTATGTTAAACTTCTATCACTAAGAAGTGGAAAGTATTTATTTTTCTTTTAAGAATAATAATATTTTTTTATTCATAATTGTAAATGATATTAATAACTAACATAATTATAAGATAATTAGTTAAACTGCATGCTAAATGATGCTAAATGATAAGATAAGTTACTGCTATATAACATATAACAATAAAAATATTTAATAGTTGGCAATTTGAAGATGCTATTTGAAGACACTATAACTGTAGTATCTTCAAATATATAGTCATAACATGCCAAATAATTCCTCTAACACTTACAGTCGAATTATTTCTGGGTTATGATAACCCATACCAGTGTTGATGGTCATATATATATACAATCTTTCTACGTACCAGTGAGTTCTGTGTGTGTGTGTGTCTATATATATATATATATATATATATATATGAATTTTCTCT